AGTTTAAGTTGTCATTGTTTATAAGAAATATGCATTGGAGCATATTGACATGACATGTCAAATCGTTAAAATTTAAGCACCGTTGCTTATATAAGAGACGGTTGCTTAAGAATAAAAAAATAATTTAATATTTCCTTCCTTCATTAATATCAACAACTATAATAATTAAATTTTTTAAAATTTATTAAAAATGAAGTATGAATGATTAAAAGGTGGAGGTGCTTATAAGCAACTTTTATTGGAATAAAAATTATAAAAATGTAATATAAATTGCTTATGAATGATATGACAGTATGAGATCCATTTAAAGTGGATGAGAGATGCTTATAAACAACTCTCACTGTAAATCAAAAAGACTATTTTTTTTATCATATAATTCTTACTTAAACATATATCTTAGAGGTGCATTTAAACATGTTGTGTATCTTATAAAAATAATTTTATAAAAACATCACAAAGGTGTGATATAACATTAACTTCGAGGGCGAAAACGATATTTAAACAAAAAATCATAAAATATTAGGAAAGTTACTTTTATTTAAATATATTATATTTTTCAGTTCTGACTTCTTTCAGTTCTGACTTCTTTCTTCGACATTATCTTCTTTCCCTTCTACATGCTCTAAAGACCGAGGGAACTTAGAGGAAGAGACCAAGGAGATCTCTATTTTAGTTTCAACTTTTGTTTATCCAAGTACGAGGGAAAAATGGATTATTTATATGTAGAGTTACATGAGGGAATTGGGTAGAGAAAGAGTCCCTTAGGATTATGAGTAATTTTATAATTATTTCTGTTTGGAGAATTATTGGTCTTATGTGATTTTGTATGTATTTAGGACTACGAATATATGATTAATCTGTAAAAATGATGCTCTAGGAGAGAGAACGAAATTATAGAAAAGTGCCTATAAGTTAGGTTTTGAAAAAATTGGATTATTTTTGTTTGAGGAATTAATGATCCCATTAGATTCTGTATGTGTTGAGGATTAGAAATATATATTTAATTTGTAAGAATGATGATCTGGGAGAGAGAACCAAATTGTAAAAAAGTGCCTATGAGTTAGGTTTTGGAACAATTGGGGGTTTTACTGTTTATGTTAAGATTATATTAAATGTGTAATTCCATTGATTATTATATTAATTTATGAATGTTATTGTTGTATTAATTGATAGAAATTGGTGATCTAGATGTGAATTGCTTGAGGGGTGTGTAAACTCTTATTTTGTTTGACTTATCTGTTATGTATATAGAATTGTGGATGTGATATGAAATTGAGCTATGAGATGAGATGTTGTATGGATGTAATTATGATTGTGATTGTGGTTCCTCACACATATGACCAGGGATGAGACGAACCTTGGGTAAGTGATGTTACAAGGACGAGCGTGCCCCTGGCAATGTGTGGGATGAGTGAGACAATTAACACGCATCACTTATGTCAAATATGGCAGCCCTAGCATAGGGTTAATTGCAAGACTTGTGTGGATTGTAATGTGATTGTGGTTCCTTACACTAATGATCAGGGATGAGACGAACCTTGGGTAAGTGATGCTACAAGGATGAGAGTGCCCCTGGCATGGTGTGGGATGAGTGAGGCAATTAACCCGTATCGGTTGTGTCAGATGTGGCGTGGCCTTGTAATGTGATTGTGGTTCCTTACACTAATGATCAGGGATGAGACGAACCTTGGGTAAGTGATGCTACAAGGATGAGAGTGCCCCTGGCATGGTGTGGGATGAGTGAGGCAATTAACCCGTATCGGTTGTGTCAGATGTGGCGTGGCCTTGGCATAGTGTTAATTGTAAGATTTGTGTGAATTGTGATGGATTGATGTAATTGTGAATTGAGATGTGAAGATGATGAATGATTGATAAATTATGATATATATAGATGCTTGTAAATATTTCATTATGTGATAAGTTATGAAGAGATTATGTTGTGGTGTGTTTGTATTTTCTTTACATATAGATGTTTTCTTTTCTCACCGTATAATTTATAGATATTTTAGGTGAGGAAGATCCGGCTATGAGTGGCATATAGAATGCCAACAGTTGATCGGGTATGCTCTGATATTGTGACATCGGGGCAGAGAATTTCTAGGACATGAATTGTATTTGTATATGGAGTTGAACCTTGTCTTTTGGAAACAATTTGTAAACTCTTAAATTTTACCTTTCAAGTTTTATTTCCAGTTATTTTGGATATTGAAGAAAGAACAGTTATAAAGTTTTATGTGAACCCTTTTACCAACTTTGAAAGTTTATTTTTCTTAATTTAATTACATTATTACGATGTATGTGTTGGGGTAGTAAGGGTGTCACATGATGTCAACTCTCCCAATGAAATTATATTAGATGTAGCAGAAGGTACATATCTCACATTTTCAAAAGTTTGGATGGCACCATTGTGAAGTTTCATTCTCACAGTCCCAATGCCTTTAACCTCCATTTTTCTACCATTTTCTAACTTGAATTAACCAAACTCACCATTAGTTTTCAGAGTATGAAACATTGTTTGATCTCTACAAATGTATTTTGAGGTAGCTGAATCCATTATCCATTTTGATTTAGCAACTTCCCTAGTAGTTGCCAAATATAGATCGTCATCATCATGAAGGTTTTGGATTACATTAGCTTGGGAGTTGTCATCATCTTTCCTCATAATTCTCAATTTTTGAATATCTTCTCTCATTTCTTTACACATTGATTGCATGTGACCTTTCTTTCCACAATAGTAACATTGCACGTTACTCATATCTCGTTCTAAACGTGATTGGAAATTTGATCTTCCTCTATGTCCATCTCGTCTCCATGAATTATTTCTCCCTTGCTCATAATGTTGCGCAGCTAGTACATGACTTTCAATATTAATATTCTCATTTTTCTTCATTCTCTCATTTTCTCTTAGAGCGGATGTCACTTCATCTAATTTCAATGATGTTTTTCCTACAAGTAACGTCTGAACTAAAGATTTATAGGATATTGGTAGTGAAGCCAACAATAACACTGCTTGCTCTTCATTAGAAAATTTTTCGTTAACATTTAACAATTGACATACCAGTTGATTGAAATGATTGATGTGATCATGAAGATTTTCCCCATCTCCATTTTGAGTTGATACAACTTCATTTTCAAACATAGGCGATTGGTTAACGACTTAGACGCATAAATGCTCTCAAGCTTCTCCCACAAGACTTTCGGTGTTGTCTCCTTTAACACGTTGCACTTGATCTCAAGAGTAAGAGCTAACCGAATCGTGCTCACGGCCTTCTTTTGGATTTGACTCCATTCTCTTTCATTGATATTATTTGGCTTTTCATCTTCCAAAGCTTGATCAAGACCTTGTTACACTAAAATATCTTGAATGGTACATTGCCAAATCATAAAATTTGTCCTACCATCAAATAAAGGTATCTCAAACTTTTGTGTGTTCCCTGTCATAGCTTTGATACCACTGATATGAAAAACTCCTCCTCACACAATAAGATCACCCACACGTCCAAGGATCTTAAATGGAACACACATATTTTATTTCTTGGCTCTCTATATATAGAGCAAAATTATAATACAAAATTTGAACCATATAATTCTCCTAAATAAAAAAATAGGAAATAAATCCCTAAAAGATATCAAAACAGATAAAAATTTGTAAATCTGAATAATATCCTAAAGATTACAATTTTCTAAAATATCTCCTTAAATATTCACTCACTCAATTTATTCGAAATTTGAATTATTTTCCCAACACATGTAAACATTAATATGCATTGTTACTATATAAAAAAAATTACTATAATAAATTTTACTAACTTAAGTGGTGGATTGACTTTTAAAAGTATTCACCTTGATCATATCATTTACATATCCATCTCAAACATTAACTTTTAATCTTTTATTAATTAAATATAAAATAAATTTAAAATAATTGAATTAGAAAAATGATTTACACCAATAACGTATAAATATTTTAAATTATCATTTATTCAAAAACTATTATAAAAAATAATTTATATAAAGGTGTGAATGCATCCTCTCAACTGGATGTAAATCCTAACACTGCATTGGTGTGTTTATAAGTGTCAATTTTAGTATAATCATTTTTAGGTATATGCCTTAATACATATGCAAGTAAGTATTTATTTTTATAACTACATATGCATTAGCATAAGCAAGCATTTTGCTTATGAAGTTATATGCAGTATATAAGTTGAAGGTAAAAGATTCAAGATAATGGGACGAAATGTGGCACTTGTTATCTTGTGTACATGTATAATTTATATTTAGGAAATAATTGATATAAGAATGCTAAAATCTATGCATCATTTACAAAACATAAACTCTAATGTAAGGTAAAGAGGATCACATAATAATCTCTCAAAATAAATCATAATTTGCAAAAATTTAACTTTAAACATTAGTCCTATTATATCTTAATGTAGAAAGCAATCATAATCTAAAGCTCTGATGTCACATATCTTATCAGCGCATTTTTAACACAAGATCTAGGTCTCGTTACAATCATCATCAATATCCTGATGAACATCACTTATAACATCATATATAACAAGAGATAGAAACAAAGGAGTGAGAAAATTTCTCACTCTAGCTCATGCATGAAATAAAAGATGAATGTAACATCCCGAATTTTTCTACTAATACTACGAATAAATATTATTTATTTTTGTATTTATGAAAATTATTTCCTTATAATTATTTTGATTAATTAAATGGGTTTGATTGAATTTTTAAAGGTTTTTATTAATAATCATTTATGAAAATTATTTTGTATAATATTATTAATTATGATATTTTGTTATAATTATTATTTGAAGAAAATTATGTTTTAAATTGTATTGATATTTTATTTTCATTTGATATATATATATATATATATATATAATTTATTTATTAATTAATAATTCTCGATTTTCATAGCCCCGGAATGGGTCGTTCCACTTTGGAAACGGGCCGTTCCAACTTGAGCATGCCTGGGTAAAATTTCAACCCAGAACGGGCCGTTCCACCGTAGTCTTTGCAGCCCCTGTATTTCAAAACAAATGACAAAAGGATACATAAGCAGGTCACAGTAGAGGAAGACATATAAGAAAAGAAAGAAGTAATACCATCTGCATTAGCAATTATGTTACCCAGGTCACCCGCATGACGGATTTCATCCTTAGGAGCACCATTTGTCAAGTTATTAGGATTAAAATGTGCTCCTAAATATGTCATTCAAGAGAATTGAACTGAACCATAGCAAGAAAAAATGATACTTGAAACAAATCAGAACATAGATCCTTGGTAAAAGCTTGATGTGTCCCATCCCTAGCTAGAAGCCACAATTGGAGAAAAAGTAATGAGATTGCTTGTAATGAGAGAAGTTTGTTTAGGATTGTAAAAAGAAGCCAATAGTGATGAGATGGGCAAAATGAATTGTATTGAATTGAATTATTAAAAATTGCACTTAATAAAAAAATAGTTCGCTTGAATTGAAAATTTGTTCAGAGAAATTTAACTGAACTTTTTTTTTGTTCTACCAAATTGCACTACACTAAACAGTAACATGAACAGAATTGTTATGCATCTTAATATATTTCTGAACTCCACTATTTTCAAATTAAACTATTTATGAACTATTTCTAAACTGTGCTGAACTTTTTTTTAAAACCTTGAATAAAAGATAAGAATAAACACCCAATGTTAAATTTGGATATGCTCACCACTTTTTTAGTAAGCTTTCTCAATATATAAATATATCAATAGTCTAAATGATGACAACAATTTATATATAAATAAATAGTAAAGTGCACATTTGCGTGCAAGTATGAATATATAAACAACAATGGTGATAAAGAAAAGTAGTGGTGTGTGCATGAACATTGACCATGATGGTTCAACAAATAAATTCCAAACTTGAAGACTCTGTAAGTTTTCATTTTGTCATTAATGCGGTATAGGAAACACGTGATCCAATGTGAGTCATGTGATGGTTTGTGTGTTTACTTAGGTAATACAAGTGCCTAAGCTCGTGATAGTAATTTTGTCCACAGCACAGGATCCAAAGGCAAATATAAAAAAAAATAAAAATATTAAAATGGAATCTCGAACCCTTTCCAAGCTCATGAACCACCAAGGCTCTTCCAACTACTGAATTAGGGCCAGACAGTGGTATCTGCATGTTTGGTGCCATACAATATGATTAGCTACTTTCAAAATGGAATGATATTGCTAAAAATGGTTTGGAATTAATATGTACCAAAAGAACAACTATTATGTTAAAATAAGTAAAAAAAATAGCACCTGATTATCCACAATTGTAGTCTTTGCAGCCCCTGTATTTCAAAACAAATGACAAAAGGATACATAAGCAGGTCACAGTAGAGGAAGACATATAAGAAAAGAAAGAAGTAATACCATCTGCATTAGCAATTATGTTACCCAGGTCACCCGCATGACGGATTTCATCCTTAGGAGCACCATTTGTCAAGTTATTAGGATTAAAATGTGCTCCTAAATATGTCATTCAAGAGAATTGAACTGAACCATAGCAAGAAAAGAAAACAGTGAAGAAAAAATTGAAACCAAGGTTCTACACTGTGAGCCAGAGTGAGATGTTTCTCACTCTTTTTTATTTTTGTTGTTTTCCTTTAACTGTTGTACAGGTGATTATCAGCATGAAGTTGAAAATGTTGGTGATGAAGCTTAAGCTTCTACGTTGGGATTTGCTCTAATAGGACATGTGACATCGGGACATAGATAGGATTAGTTTAAGATGTTCTTATTAAATTATTTTGGAAAATTCAGTTTTATTTCTTTGTAATTTTACCGGCATGTTATTTGGATTAAGTTTATGAATGTGAACTCTTTACCCTTACGTGGTTGGAAATTTGATTTTTATTGATTTTTATTTTATAATTACTGTATATATATGTTGGGGTAGAGGGTGTCACAATGAATGGTCAAATCCATAGGCAACTAAAAGCATACCAAGAAAGCTCATCACATGAAATTAACTATAAATAATTGCAATTAACATCAATAGGGGGTTGAAGAGTCATGGGACAAACAACAAATCACTTAAAACAAAAACAAAAACAATAGATTTTTCCCTTTCATACAATGCAACATACAGAGGTTGGGGTCCAACCTCAATACCCATTAATTGTTCCACGTCCTACAGCAATAATTCTCACCCTCTTACCTTAATCAGTAAAAAAAAATAAAGAAAATGAGTCTTTGAGATTATCTCCTCTTGACTCCTCTCATTTTAGTTCTTCAGAGTGTAAAACGAAAAATAAGGAAACCGACGAATCTCTCTTTTTAATTTGAAGTCTAACTCAACCTCCCTCTAATATATCTATGATTACTCGACCTTGATTCTGGTTGTATATCCCTTTCCCTCACTTATTAATAATAATAATAATAATAATAATAATAATAATAATAATATAAAATAATATATTATATCATGATGCTCAAATAACTTTAAAACTATAAATAAA